TGCACTGACTTTGGCGATATAGTTTGTCACTCTTCTAATATTTATTTTTATTTAATTTACTATTGTCATGATCATCGTTTCTTATTCTCTGATCATCTTCATGTATTATCATCTTAAATTACAACTAAATTGATTTTTATTATATTCAGTAGTATGCATGCGTAGTAATGCCTTTATCTATAATTTATTTTTATTATATGATTGTTTTCTACTCATAAATAGTTTATCATCTTTAATTCATTGGTATTAACTATATTTTTTTGTTTATTTTTATGCAAGAAAAATATTGAACTTGAAACCAAAAGTAGCATTAGGTGTGAAGCCAACTAAATTCATTACACCACAGGTTTTGAACCGCATCAAGACTTTAACTGCCAAATTCATAAGCAGACAATTCCAAGATGAAGAAATGGAATTCCCAATATTAGCAACCACATCCAATGCACCTATAACATCTAGCACCAAAACCCTTAAACCAAAATCATTAACACCAACCATAACTACCACTTCCTCGGCATCACTTAAAACATCCACTCCATCCTCACCAAATACATCCAAAAGTTTAGCAACTGGAACAATACAATCCTCAACACCTACATCAACAACCAAAACTTCAGTATCTACATCATCTAAACCATCTTGAACACCGACATCCACTACCACATCATCAACACCTAAATCTACTACCGCAACATTAAAACCTTCATCAACACTACCATCCTTAACAACTATAGTAACTACCACATCCTCTTTAAGTAAAGGAACTACCACATCCTCAGCATATACATCTATCCCAACACCTACCTTAGACTATACCCCATTAACAACACCTATCCCAGAATCTACCCCATCACCAAGATAACCAACCATGAATGGATCTGTTATGGAAAATGTAGAAGGTGAAAACAATTCCTCTGAATATTGTGGACCAGATGGACATTTAACTGTTCATGTTTGGTAAAAAAATGTAAGTTTCCAATCATATCTTACAACTTTTTCTATGTATAATATTTTGGTGTACATGTACATATCAATTCAAAACTAAACCGATCACATGATTATTTGCAGGCTCATGCTACCAGACCCTTGCGCACTCTTTATTTGTTGGTCCTTTTTACAAAGAGTAGATCCACAAGGGTACATTTTGGGGAAAAGTAACCAAAGAAATGCATGAATTATATTGGGAGGAGTTCCAGGTAGTTAACTATATGTGATAAATTGTTGTTTGGTAAACATTTACATTTAAACTTATGTTTATATTGTTAATATGTAGAAAAAATGTTGTTGGGATAAAACAATAGACTTGCTGGTGAGGTAAGCTTGGGCAAGTAAAGTGACTCAAAGTTATGGACACCATCTCTACAACATACGGAGCCCACAAAGAAACCCACGTGCCTTTAAACTAGCTCATATCGCACATGAAGTTTGGAACTCCAGGCAATTAAAATGCAATACAAATTAATACAAGCTAAAATCCGAGCAAAATAAGAAAAATAGGTGTAACGGTTTGGTTGATGGAGTAGCACAACCAACCCATAATGCTGGATCCGCAAGTTATTTGAAGATAGCTTCTGATTTGGTAATTTTTTTAATGGTACATCAATTTTTATGTTTATATGTATATTTGACATTTTATGGTATTTATGCAGAAGTGGAAATTAGGGCGTGATCCACCCCATAGTGAATTGTTCCTATATACACACACGAAGAATCACAATGGAGTCACTTTCACAAATGAAAAAGATAGACAAATTCATGTAATATTCATTTCAGTGCAATTAAACTTTTATAGTGTAGCTAGTCCATAATTTCATTCATAACTTTGATATATTTTAACTTATATTATTTTTATTTGTAGGCGGCCTATAAAGAATGGGAAGAGTTGGAAGCTCAAGGTGCTGAATTTGAGGAGGACAAGATATTTTATGATGTTGTTGGTGGTCATAACAAAAAAAGAAGACTTTATAAATTAGGTTGTTTTGGAAAGGCGGTCCCCAATATTAATGGTAAAACGGATGTATCTGACATTCTAGAAAAAAATGATAATATAGAAGAAGAGGGAACTTGTTGCTACACAAAAAGAGAAAAACAAAGAGCTTAAACAAATAATGAAAGCCCAAGAAGAACAAAACAACGCAAGAGTCGGGCAACTTAAAAAGCAACTTAAAACGACAATGGATGTTATCAATGTCATTACAAAACAACAACATTAGTAAGTCATAAAGTGTTGATATGTTTATTGCAAAGTATTTATTTTAGATTAGTCACTTTCCATTTTCCATGTAATAAATAATTATTGTATTATTTTATGATATAATGTTATTTGATTTTTTTTGTTATTTTTATTTTTCATATATTACTACAAAACAATTTGGATTTACTTTATAAATCAGTTATCCATCTGTCCATTTGAAATATTTGATATGGAATATGCTATATAATATACACCATGAAAATTGCTAGGGGTTAACAACAATTTTCTAGGAAGTCATCAAACGGAAGTTGCTAGGGATTCATCACCATGGAATTTTCTAAGGAATCACCACCACAAAATTTTCTAGGAATTCATAACCACAGAATTTGCTAGGGAATCACCACCACAGAATTTACTAGGGAATCACCACCATGGAATTTACTAGGGATTCACCACCACGGAAATTGCTAGGGAATCAACACAACGAATTTTGCTAGGGATTACCTACAACGAAATTTGTGATGGAAGAACTACCATGGAATTTGTGATGGAATCCTACTACGGAATACACGAAGGAATACCATCTACCATGGATTTCATTCCATTGCAACCATTGCGATGGAGTGATTGTTTCCCTAGAAAACACTCGCCACGGGGTTTTTTGGGATGGAAATCGGTCTTCGCAAACTCCGTCGCTATTAGTCCTTTGCAATGGAATTGCATCTTTATGTAACGGAATCCTTCCCTAGCAAAATTGTGTTTTTCTTGTAGTGTTTCGTTATCTTCATCTAGTTTTTATGGTTTCTTCTTTTGTTTATTTTTCCAGTTTAATCGTCTCAACCCAATCAAACTATGACGGATGTTAGTGGTTAGGGTTTAGGCCCAAGCCCTTTAGGGTTTAGCTGTTAGACTTTTGGTATTCTCTATATATTCTTATGTAATTTCCTTTTGAGAATCAATCAATCCATTATCTAACATACTAGTTACACTATGGGTTAATGTACTTCTGTATTTATCAATTTCTTTTTGGAAAATGCAATGACTCTTCATCAAGTACACTCTAATGTACTCTAAACATGTAATGTTTTTCCCTACTATTATCTAGCTTAAAGTTGAATACGTCACAAAGATTTTTTAGCAAACAAACTAATGTGATCTACCTATGAAATATATATATAAGAATTAAAGAATAACAAAGAATGTTGAGAAACTATGAGACAATGTTTACAATAAACCAATTAATGCATAACTTACCAGAAAAATGGGACCTTTCCCAATGAACTACTTGAATCATACTTAGTCATTCATGTGCCTTGTCACTAAAATCCTTGAATTCTGCCATTGCCTTTTTTCTGTGGCATGTATTACTCCCTATATATAAAGCACTTTATAGTTATCACAATTACAAGCTTCAAAACATAGAATAAAAATAGATTTATGTATTCATATCTTTTGTCTGTCATATACAAATGTGAAGTAGCATGATGCATCTAAATCCATATAATCACCAAGGCTCTCCAAGAACCTGGTCCATGTACGTGTTGTCTCAGCTTCCTCAATAATATAAGCTAGTGGATAGATTCTATTATTGGAATCAAGACCCAAATCTTTTATAATTCTCCCAGGGTATGGTCTTTTCTAGAAGCACGCGTCCATTGTAATTCTTAATTTCCGTATTTGAACCCCAAATTAAGTGCTCCAAGACAAAAATATATCCTCTTGACTATTCAAGTTTGAACATTAGAATTTGGTTCACTACACACTACTATCTTCACTTTTGTACCTGGGTTATTAGTTTGTAACTTCAAACAATAATCTCTTAACAAACTATATTGCTTTTCATAGTCACCATACAACTACTCTTTTATAACAGAGTAAGCCTTGAACACTTTCATTTTGCACATGTTTAATTCCATATTCATTTGAAGCTCCCTATGTAGGGCTGAAACTGGGATTCAAGGATTGGATTCCACCTTTTGGAGAATAGTGTTAACCAAATATTTTGATGTACATGCCTTCACATTTCTGGTTTGCAAGCATAAATGCTCATCAATGATTGATTTCACTAACCAAGGTTCCTCTTCTGTAGATCAAGATATCTGAATTGAAAAAGGACAATAATCTTTTTTGTTAATTACACTTTTTCCCTTGGATGTTGAAGGTTTGTTTTTATAAGATACACTTCAAGTATGAATAAGAAAAGAAAAACTAATCTAAAAGAAATAGTCAACAGAAAGTAAATTACACAGGAGTTCTCTAAATGTTCCTTTCACCAAGAAAATAGGTTTTGTCTTCACCAAGAAGATGGCTCTATCATAAATACAATTGACACAAAGCCATAAACAAAACTACTCAACCTCAACATTAGTGTTTACCCTAATGTTGTATATATACTAATTTATAAATGTATATCCGATGATTAACAGGATTGTTTCTAATCTATACTAAGAACCGATATTATCATAAAGATACGAGATCTAATACATATTATATATTCATTTATAATAACTTCCTAATATATGAAAATTACAATCGGACAACTATACTATAAGCTGATGTTGTTGACCTCGTGATCATAAGGTGTGACCTTACAATCTCCCCCTATCTGATGATGTCAAAACTACTATTCTTCTTCAGAGTCATCAGAAGAGTCATTGTAGAACTTGTGAACTTCTTTCAAGACTTTAGGCTTTACCCATTTGAATTGATCAAGTTTTAGCTCATCCAATCTTCTACTCAGTTCCAGTGATATCAACACACGATATCCTCATTCCAGCTTATAGTGAACTAGTCCTTCCAAGAAAAGTCAAAACAAGTGCTCAGTAGGAGCAGATGGAAGGCCATCAGTGCGTTGAAAGCATATCTGATTTTGACTGTTGAGATAAAAGATTCCGTGCTCTGGTTTTGGAATAAACATGTACTGAATAGGTTCAACACCAATTGGTAATTCATCATTGATGTATCTAGTACCATAAGGAAGAAGAAACCTAGTAGTCTTGGAATGTTGGGGAGCGTCTGTTCTTCCTGATGAGGCTGATCTAGATGAACTCGCTAATGGACCAGTAGACGGTACCAGGTTTGGTTTCTTCACTTTGTTGAGAAGTTGTTGGATTTCCAACTTCACTTCTTGGGCATGAACACTTTTATACTTGTTGATGATTTCAAGAATCTGCATCCACTTGTTGTAGCTGAATTTGACTAGTTGATGAGCAAACATAACTTCGGTATATTCATACTCAGTTTTCTTTCTTACCAAGTGAAGCTTTAGTGAATCATTCTTTGGCTTGGTGCATCTTACTCTGATGATGGGATTAGGATTTTTTCTTAAGAACCTCTCCAGCTTCTTTCTATTAATCTGGTTATATAGATTTGAAACAATGTGTTGTTTATCCATATTGTTGTTGAAACAATGTGCTTTTTCTCCAAACTTCTTTCTATCAAACTTCCAGCATGATCTATTTAACTTCGTCGATAGGTAAGCTGCATGTTTTTGCTAACTCATTCAAATAAAAAATGAGCTTGCTTTTCTTTGAGGAGGTGTTGAAGTATTACCAGCTACAGACGAACTTCCAGATTTAGAATTAAAATATCCCTTAAGAAGGAAGCCTTTCTTTTTCGTAGATTAAGTTGGATACCATCATCAAAATCAATGTCACTATTTGTTCCTTGAGGAAACTCTTGAGAAACATCCCCCTCAAAACAAGAACTAGGATATACAATGTTTAATGGAACAGCAGAAACAAAAACTTGTTGCATGAAACCAAGATCTAGAAATCCTTCATAGTCATTAGTTTCAAATTGGTCACCAGTGTCTGAAATAGGTTGATCAATTGTAGCATTAGCATCTGGAATATCAGCAACAACAATTGGCTCCAGAGGATCAGGTCCAGCTTCACCCCTTTCAATCATCTTAGGCTAAGATGCAATATCCATTTGCGTTTGCATTGGTTGAGGACCCTCTTGATAATTCTCCCCCCTTTTGGAAGCTTTAGATTGGGGAGGAGAGTTAGGAGGAGGAGAAGGAGTTCTTGGAGGATGATGAGATGGTGGAGGAGGTTTTGTTGATGGAGGTAGATGTGGAGGTGGATGAGGGTTATCATGTAACCCCTGGTAATTCTAAGGTATTTATTTATTTAATTTGGTTTCTCATTTAATTTTGGTTTGGGCTTGGAGATATTAGACTTAATATTTTGGGCTTGAAGGGGGATGTCGTACGCTAGGCGTACAACCCCATGTGCACAGGTCATACAGGAGTAAGTGAGTAACGAATGACATGCGTGTGTGTGCATCGTACCAGTTAGTACGCACAGCGTACGTGCCCAGACCCAAATATTTAGGGTTTGAGCACTATTTAAAGAGCATTAGGTCCCATGGATCTTAATAATCAGCCTCCCTTTTGTCCCTAATTAGCTTCCATGAAACCCTAACTTGATTGTTGAGTGTTCTTGAACTTAAAAGGTCATATTGGGTGTATTTTGGTGCTTTAGAAGGAAGGAGATAATCTTGAAGTTTCATTGGAAAAGTGAGAGCTTGTGGATCTGAAACATCGTCATCATTTGGCACACTTTGGAGGTATAAAAATCTGAAACTGATGTGTCATAGCTTAGATCTAGTTTTATTATGATTTTGGTTAACTTTTTCTCTCATGAGTAAGTTTTGGTGGGTTGATGCAACACCAGCAATGAGTTGCCCCTCTTGATGTTTTTGAGGTTTATGAGTCTTAAAGTTAGCATATTTTGGGTTGGAACTCACCCATGCATGGGTTTGATTTCATTTAATGGAATTAGAATGTTATATTTCGAGTTTGGGTTCATTTGGGGCATGCAAAGTTGTCACACCCCCGAACCAGAACGGCGGAAACGTCTGGGGGTTCGTGTGACTTAAATTGAAATATCATTACAATGAATATACATGAACAAACGCATACATTGCCAACATTACATAGGACAATTGTCATTGTTCACATCAAGTACATTGTTTAAACATTACAAATCCATAGCATAAACTGTTTGAGAGTCACAAAACATAACATTTTAACACACTTGGTAACTTTCTTCAGCTTATCTGTTACCGGAGAATACAATGTGTTTTGAAAATGTCAACATATATAATGTTGGTGAGTTCATAAGTATGTTTGATATAAAATTAGTTTGTATCATTTGTAAAACCTAGAAAATCCGATATTTTATGAAACAGAAATTGTTTATGCAATATGTGTGATGATCCATAGGTATATGCGTAAATGATTTCAAAACGTGTAAAAATGATTTGTTTCTCATAATAATTTCTTGTATTATAGTTATTGAAAGTACAAGTGAATAATGTTGTTTCCCTGGAAAACCCGATGTTTTCCGATAAAATAGTATGATCGCTTTGTATTATTGTAACATCACAAAGAATGAATATGATTTCCCTTGATTACTTAGATGGTATTGGATCTCTATGTGAGTCGATATAACCATGCATAATAATGACTAATTCACCTGTCTTGGCATTTTTCCAAATGCCGGTTTTGAACTAGATTTTGTCACCATAGACTGACCGAGTCTAACTGTAGCGAACAACTTAGGTGTAGGGGAGTCGCCCCCATATAGATCTATACAGAAACTCTCACTCTCCCTCCAGGAGACTCTAGTTATAACTACAGACTACGACCGACACTTATTAGTGTCACCCGTTATTTCCCACTAAATCCAACTGAAATTAAACAAGCTTGTTTAACAACCTGATTGATGTTTACTAGAATAGAAGGTAAGCCTAATAGACGAAGAGAAGAAGACTACGGGGGCCCACTAATCACGTATGTTATTATAGGCTGTCGAATATGCGACGGACACGTTAGCCCATCATGCATATGATTGATTTCGACCTCACTAGCAATGCAAATGGGTCACTACGGCCCAATAGCATGTAAATGTGATTGAGGCTCCGTTAGGCATGAAATTGGTTCACCTGAGGCCCAATAAACATGTGTATTTATGTTGGACCCAATAATCATGATATTGGGTCACAAAGGCCCAATAACATGAATAGGAGGTATTTGAGCCCAACCATTGAATTGTTTATGTTTTATCGAGTTTAAGTTCGTATTGTTGGTACTTTGTTGTCTACTAAATGTTCATTTTACCATGTTTAAAAAAATAACTTAACGTTCAAATTATAACGAAGCTTTAGTTATATATATATATATATATATATATATATGTGTGTGTGTGTGTGTGTGTGTGTGTGTGTGTGTGTGTATATATATATATATATATAATCATGCGTTATAAACTTGATATTTTTAACCCAAACATTTATAATTGTTTATTTAGCCCAAAAGCATCTAAATTAACCATTTTGGCCCATTTTTATATAAAACTGGCACTTTTAGTCCCTTTTTACGCAAAATATACATTTTTGGTCCTTAAACCATTTTTTTGACATTTTCCACCCGAACTTTATTTGAATAGTAATTTTAGTCCAAAACTATTGCATTTTTCATTTCCATCCTTTATTTGTAAAAATTTTACATTTTTAGCTTAGTTTTCCTATGTTTTACAATTTTGACGCCAAAATCAAAACTTTGCATTTTTAGTCCAAATTTGGTAATAAACTCATTTTTAACTTCTGAAAAAGTTTATTTACATTTTAGACCCATATTTTGTTGAATTTTCTAATTCATCCCCTCAAAAACCTCAGCTTTTATACAAATAAACAACTTATAACCCTCATAAAACCGATATTTTACAATTTACACTCAATCTTTGTTATCTTTGCAAAAATGACACTTGTAAGGTTCTTTGGTTTTGTTTTTCACTTTTTAAACTTAAGGACCCTTAGATCTATGATGAATGTTGTTTATTATGTTTTTGTTTATGATTCTTTCACCCTTTTTGCTATAGATCGCGAAATATAACAAATACTACATATTATCACAACCAAAAACTAAAGAAATCACATATAGCATGCAAACACACATAGATCATCACATAACACTTGTATTCTCCCCCCAAAAACAAGTAAAAACCAAAAACAAGGGGGTATGAACTCACATTGCTTAGTTGTTTATGTTTTGAAGAAGGTGTGAAGAAGATTTTTGGTCCTAGCAAGCCTCATTGAGTTGATTTTGAACTTAAGAAGCTTCTAAGGTGTTCATGGAATAATGCTTTGTAAGAAAGGGTTCTAGATGTTGTAATGGAAGAAGGTGTTTGTGTTTGATAACACTTACCAAAGATTGACAACACTTGATGAAGATCCTTGAATCCTAGCTAAATTTTCGAGATTTCTTTGAAGGAATGTTGGGGAGCAAAGTTATTCATGATTGACTTTGTAAATGTTTGACTTTTGTAAAACCCACTTGCATGTGGAGTATTAGCCTTTTGATACATGTGTTAGTGAGAGAGAGAGAGAGAGAGAGAGAGAGAGACATGTAAACACCTCTGTATAAGGTGGGTTTGTCCACTTGTAGAGGTGTGCTTGAGAGATGTAGTCATAGTGATTAGTGAGTGACATATTTATGAAGTTCTAGACTAGATCCCTTTTTGTACTCATTTACTATGATCGAATATATCTTTTAGCACCCAAATCATCATGTTTAATTGTGCAAACTTAAATTCCGCATGCCAAACCATGTTCTTTGTCACTACATTTGGTATCAGAGAGGGTCTTCAAGATCAAGATGATATTTGAAGAAGGATTCTCGGTTTGGCAACTTTTGTCACAATTTGAGCAATTTTGGTGAGTCTCTCTCTATGATATCTCTTAATATCACTGAATTCGTGCGTTACATTTTTTATTTGTGATCGTTTGACTCATTGGATCAAATTTTCTTTGAAAAAACTCATTTGTTGTGATCCAATAATTATTTTGTTGATCAATGTCCAATCCAGTCATATTTGTTGTCTGATTTGATTCTCGAATTTTTGCAATTGTTCACTTGAATTCAAATATTAATTCTAGATGAATTAAATCAAAATTTTGATCCAGATTCTTCGATTCATTGTTTAAGATGATTTTTTATTCAAAGTTTTGAATCAAACAAATTAAGCCCAAAAGTTCCGGTCGTTACTGTTCATCGATTAAATTTCAAGCCCAAAATTCTGTTTGTTAAGATCCGAAGTCATATATTCATATGTTAAGCCCAATTATGTAACATACACTTCAGTAACCTTGTTTAATTATCATGTTTCATATGATTGTTAGTTTAAAAATGAATATTATTATATATATTATATGTTGTTTTAAACGTTTAAAGTAGGTAGTTATAGTAAAATAGAATTGTAAGCGTTTATATATATATATATATATATATATATATATATATATATATATATATATTATTTTCGGTATGGTTTTAAGCGTTGATTTCTAACGAAATAGGTTTATAATATTTGAAGTTAAACTAAGTTTAGAATCATTTGGAATGTATTAGAGGTGATAGGGAAGTCTTATGTGATTCCGATCAAAAAGTCAACTATCGGAATTAACGAAAGTATAACGTCTAAGTTGAAAATAATTAAATCTGATTTTATTGGAAGATCTTTTCTGGGATATTTTTATTGGAAGTTGTAAATTATCTCGTTAGAAACGTACAGGCGAAAACCTCATCGAAAACGGAGTTTCGAGCGAAAAGTTATGCAATTTTTAGTGTTTAGGGGTAAAACGGGTACCCAAACCGGGTCAAACCCGACCCAACTCGGGTTTTTACCCATTGAAACACGATTTTGAGTCATTTTCCTGCCATTTTCAGTTCGTCACCATCCCTATGGGAGATTTTCACATACATGATCAATCTTGATCAAGTTTTGAAGATTAAATCAAGATTTTGAGTGTTCTTGAAGTATCAAGTCTAGTAATCAAGGTATGAACTCTTAATTTTTGGATTAACCCTTGTAATTAGTGAGTTATTAAGAGATTAGGGTTTG